TAGGAACCTCCAGGACATCTTTAAATGTTACAACATCCAAATTATAGGAGTACCAGAAAGAGAAGAGGAAGAACAAGTGAAAAAGTTATTTGAACAAATAATAAAGGAGAAGTTCCCCAATCTGGCAAAGGAAAGAGACTTCCAGGAAGTCCAGGAAACTCAGAGAGTCCCAAAGAAGTTGGACCTAAGGAGGAACACACCAAGGCACATCATAATTACACTACCCAATATTAAAATTAAGGAGAGAATCCTAGAAGCAGCAAGAGAAAAGGAGACAGTACCTGCAAAGGAGTTCCCGTAAGACTGTCAGCTGATTTCTCAAAAAAGACCTTACAGGCAAGAAGGGGCTGGAAAGAAGTATTCCAAGTCATGAAAGGCAAGGATCTACATCCAAGATTGCTCTATCCAGCAAAGCTTCATTTAGAATGGAAGGGCAAATAAAGTGCTTCTCAGATAAGGTCAAGTTAAAGGAGTTCCTCATCACCAAGCCCTTATTATATGGATTGTTAAAGGGATTTATCTAAGAAAAAGGATTAAAAATATGACCTGTAAAATGACAGCAAACTCACAATTATTAACAACCACACCTAAAACAAAAACAAAAGCAAACAACTAGAACAGGAACAGAACCACAGAAATGGAGATCACATGGAGGGTTATCAATGGGGTAGTGGGAAGGGGAGAGAGGGGGAAAGGGTACAGAGAATAAGTAGTGTAGTAGACTTCTGTGTGGCATGGGCCCAGTTCCCCCTCGGAGATGCATAGGACCCACACCCACAGATAGGTTCTCCCATGGGGAATCAGGCCTGCAATGTACCTAGGCTGCTATGAGTCTTGCTTTTTGCTAAGACTCCCTCACCCTGAACTGATGACATTTACTACAAAGCAACTTCCTAAAAACCATGCTAAACCTTCCAAGGATGATTGTAACTGGTTCAACCACTTTTGCCTTTTCATTTGCAAATATCCCTCTTCTGTGATGTGATTAGCAGCATTGGCTCCTTTGTTTTCTGAAAAAGGTAACCACCTAAGGTGAATCTGTGCATACTAAAAGAGGACCATCTTGTAATGGCCAGAGAAATATTTCTCCTTCTCTGTATCTAATATGAGTTTGCTTCTATTTTGTTTGTTTACTTTGTCTCATTGATACCACATATAAGTGAAATATATGATATTTGTCTTTCTCTGTCTAACTTATTTTACTTAGCATAGTGCTCTGCACATCCATTCATGTTGTCACAAATGGCAAATTGTTAATTTTTACAGGAACCTCCATACTGTTTCCCTAGTGACCACACCCATTTACAACCAGAGCAACAGTGAATTTGAGTTTCCTGTTCTACACTTCTTCAACAAAACTTGTTGTTTGTTGATTTATTGATGATAACCATTCTGACAGCTGTGAGGAGATATCTCATTGTGGTTTAATTTGAATTTTTGTGATGATTAGAAATGTTTCATATGTCTGTTGGCCATCTCTCAGTCCTCTGAATATACAGATCCTCGGCCCATTTTTCTTTTCCTTCCTTCCTTCCTTCCTTCCTTCCTTCCTTCCTCCCACCCTCCCTCCCTTCTTCTTTCTTTCCATTTTGTTGTTGTTCAAGTACAGTTGTCTGCCTTTTCTCCCCAACTCTCCACCACACCCCAGCCATCCCCACCTCCCTCCTTTGATTTCCACCCCCACCTTGGTTTTGTCCATGTGTCCTTTATAGTTGTTCCTGAAAACCCTTGCCCCCTTCCCCCCATTATCACCTCCCATCTCCCCTCCAGTTACCATCTGTTTGTTCTTATTTTCAATGTCTCTGGTTATATTTTGCTTGCCTGTTTCTTTTGTTGAATAGGTTCCACTTAAAGGTGAGATCATATGGTATTCATCTTTCAATGCCTGGCTTCTTTCAATTAGCATAATGGTCTCCATTTCCATCAATGCTGTTGCAGAGGGTAGGAGCTCCTTCTTTCTTTCTGCTGTGTAGCATTCCATTATGTAAATGTACCATAGATTTTGATCCATTCATTTACTGATAGGCACTTAGGTTGCTTCCAGCCCTTGGCTATTGTAAATTGTGCCACTATGAACATTGGGGGTGCATAGGATCTTTTGGATTGGTGTTTCATTGTTCTTAGGACATAATCCCAGCAGTGGAATTGCTGAGTCAAAAGGCAGATCCATTTTTCGTTTTCTGAGGAAATTCCATACTGTTTTAAACAGTGGCTACAGCACTCTGCATTCCCACCAACAGTGTGCTAAGGGTCCCCCTTTCTCCACAACCTCGCCAGCCCTCATTCCTTGTTGATTTGGTTATGGTGGCCATTCTGACTGTGCGAAGTGTGTTCTCACTGTGGTTTTAATTTGCATTTCCCTGATGGCTAGTGATGCTGAGCATCTTCTCATATGTCTCTGGGCCCTCTGTATGTCTTCCTTGGAGAAGTGTTTGTTCAGGTCCTTTGCCCATTTTTTTAAACTGGATTCTTTGTGTTCCTGCAGGGGAGTCATGTGAGTTCTTTATATGTTTTGGAGATCAGTCCAAGGTATCACTGGCAAATATATTTTCCCATAGAGTTGGTTCCCTTTTCATTTTGCTGATGTTTTCTTTAGCCGTGCAGAAGCTTTTTATTGTGATGCAGTACCATTAGTTTATTCTTTCCTCTCTGTCCTTGCTCTAGAGGACATATTGGTGAAAATATTGCTGCATAGAATTTCTGAGATTTTTCCTGCCTATGTTTTCCTCTAGGACTTTTACGACATCATAGCTTATATTTAAATCTTTTATCCACCCTGAATTTATTTTTGTGTATGGTATAAGTTGGTGATTGAGTTTCATTTTTTTTTTAGTGTAGCTGTGCAGATCTTCCAACACAATTTGTTGATGTTTGCTATTTTTACTTCATTTTACCCTTCTGCCCCCTTTGTCGAATATTAATTGATCTTAGGGACTTGGAATTATTTTGGGGTATGCTATTCTGTTTCATTGGTCTATGTGTCTGTTCTTATGCCAGTATACACTGTTTTGGTTATATTGGCCTTGTAGTATAGCTTGACATCAGGTATTTTGATCCCTTCTACTTTGTTCTTCCTTATCAACATGGCTGAGGCTATTTGGGGTTGTTTATGGTTCCATATAAATTTTTGAAATGTTTGTTCTGTATCTGTGAAATATGTTACTGGTACTTTAATAGGGATTGTGTTCAATCTATAAATTGCTTTAGACTGTTGTGTATTCATTTTCATTTGTTTCCAGAAACATTTTGATTTCTCTCACAATCTCATCATTAACCCATTCATTGTTTAATAGCATGCTATTCAGTCTCTATGAGTTTGAATATTTTTGAATGATTTTCCTTGAAGTCGGTTTCTAGTTTCAAGCCCCTTGGTCTGAGTTAATGTTTGATATAATTTCAATTTTCTTGAATTTGTTGAGGCTTGTTTTGTGTCCTATCAGGTGGTCTGTGTTTGAAAATGTTCCATGTGCGTTTGAAAAGAATGTGTATTTTGCTTCTTTGGGATGAAGACGCAAATGAAGAAGCATATATATATATATATATATATATATATGGAGTCCATTTGTTCTAATGCGCCATTCAGTTCCACAATATCCTTGTTAATATTTTGTTTGGAAGATCCATCCATTGTTGACGGGGAGTCACAATCCCCTACTATAATTTTGTTGCTGTCTATATCTTGCTTGAAGTTTTTCAAGATTTTCCTTATATATTTGGAAGCTCCTATGTTGGGTGCATATAGGTTTACAATAAATATGTACTTGATGGATTCTTCCCTTGAGTATTCTGAAGTGTCCTTCTGTGTCTCTTTTTATGGCCTATGTTTTGAAGTCTATTTTGTCGAAGATAAGTTTCGTTATCCTGGCTTTTCTTTCCTGTCAGTTTGTTTTTTCCAGCCCTTCACTTTCAGCTTGCATAGGTCTTTGTTCTGAGGTGTGTCTCCTGTAGGCAGCATATTTTGGGTCTTGTTTTCTTAACTATTTACCTACCTTATGCTTTCGATTGGAGCACTTAATCTATTTACATTTAAGGTTGTTATTGACAGGTACTTATTCATTGCCACTATACTCTCTTGTATGTGTGTTCCTCTCTCTCTCACTCCTTTTCTTCCTCTCCTTAAAGCAGTCCTTTTAGCATATCTCGCAATGCTGGTTTGGTGGAGGTGTACTCTTTGAGCCTTCTTTTGTCTGGGAAACTCCTTATTTTGCCTTCTATTTTAATTGAGAGCCTTGCTGGGTAGAGTAGTCTTGGTTGCAGGCCTTTGCTTTTCATTACTTGGATTATTTCTTGCCATTCCCTTCTGGCCCACAGTGTTTCAGCTGAGAAATCACCTGCTAGCCTTGTCAGAGTCCCCTTGTGTGTTACTTCCTGTTTCTCCCTTGATGCCTTTAGGATTCTCTTTGTCTTTGAATTTTGACATTTTAATTATGATGTGTGTTGGAGTGGACCTCCTTGTGTTCCTCTTGATTGGGACCCTCTGTGTTTCCTGGACCTGGGTAATTTTTTCTCTCGTCAGATTAGGGAAGTTTTCTATCATTACTTTCTCAAACAGGTTTTCTATCCCTTGTTCCTTTTCTTCTCCTTTCTATATTCCTACGATCTGAATGTTGTTGCGCTTCATGTTGTCCTATAGTTCCCTTAAGTTATCTTCATATACTGTGAGTCTTCTTTTGTGCAGCTGGTTTACCTGGCTATTTCTGTCTACCTTGTCTTCCATCTCACTAATTTGGCCCTCTGCTTCATTCAGCCTGCTTGTAATTCCTTCTAACGGATTATGGGTGGAAATGAAGATGGAATGGATAAGAGTATTTTTTCATTTCAGATATGGCATTCTTCATTTCTTCCTGGTTCTTCTTTATAGTTTCTATTTCCTTTTTCATACTGTTGTAGTTCTTACTTCCTTGTAGCCATCATCAGTGAGCTCCTTGGGCATCCTTATAACCATTCTTTTGAATTCTATATCTGATAGTTTACTTGCCTCCATTTCATTTAATCTTTCACTGGGGAACCTTCATTCCTTTTGGTTATGGAGTCTTTCTTTTTCTCCCCATTTTTGGTGACTCTTCTTGTTTGTTTCTGCAATTGAGGATGCTCTGTTTTGCCTGCTGTCTTTATACGGTGAATTTCTATGGTAAGGGTTCTGTGGGACTCAATGGTGTGGTCTCTTTGATCTCCTTGTCTGGATACTCTAGGGTTGCCCTTTCTTCCATTCATGCCAGCTCTCTTGCTGTACTTGGGCTTTACCTGTTGGTGGCTTCTTAGTTGGGTGGCTTTTTCCCCTCCAGTGGGCTTACTGGAAGTCACAACTCCCACCTGGTCTTGTATGCTCTTGTACAGGTGTCGGCTAACCAAGCAGTATTACCACACAACCAAACCTATGCCAGCAAAAAGAACCCCTCTACCACATCAGCAATCTCAACTGCAATTGAACTGAGACTAATAAAGGTGAAGAGAGATTGCATATATTATAAGGTATGTCAAAGGGAATATGAAATGACTAATGAGAGGAAAATGTTGTGTGCTAAGAGGGAGGAGAATTGATAAGAGTTGGGATAGACTGAAGGTGAAGAAAGGGAGAGAACAAAATTTAAAACATAAGTAAAACATGAATGGGTGATGGGAACATTGGGGTAAGAAAGTGGAAGTGTATACTCTGAGGTTTGAAGTAAATTGAGATGCTATTGGACCAATGGGAGCAAAACTGCAGAAAAACCACAGCAGGGTCAATAGCAACAACAGCTGAATGAAGCTTAATAAGGATAGAATGGGAATAAGAATATTGTAGAAAAGTGAAACGTGAATATGAGATATCTGCAGTAAAGAAAAATGATTATGAGAGGATGGGGAAGGAAAGTAATGAGTAAGGTGTAGAGCCCGGGTTTAGAGAAGGGAAAAAGGAAAGAAAAGAAAAAGGAAAAAGAAAAAAAAAAGGGAGAGGGAAAACAATGAAATAAAATTCCTTACTCAACTGATTGTGGGCAGCGTGAGGGCTGAATGGAGTATGACAGTGGGAGAGTATTCTGGGAATTTAAAGTACAAACAAGTAGTGAACAAATAGGAGTTCCTTTAGAGAAGTAGAGCAAGAACCATGATGTTTCACCCAACTGGCCACTGTTTATTAAAGGTGAAAAAGAAATAAGACTCTTATTAGAAGGGAAAAAGAATGTGAGCTGACTTAAGAATGAAGAGCACTTATGCTAGTTTAGGTGGAGGAGAAATAGTGTGAGTAAGGGATAGGAACACAGAAGAGCATGAGATAAAATGAAGTTTACCACAACAGTAATAAAGCTCAGGAAGATGGCAAAATGGATTAATACCAAGGAAGGATGCTGTGTGGGACTTGGAATAACAGTAATATGTTAAGAAATGTATAATCTGAATAAAAAGTGAAAGACCAAGAGTTCTGTGTTCTTTGGAATACAAGTGAAGTAAAAGAAGGAAAATTAAAGTGAAATATGAAAGAGAGAATAAAACAAACAATTCAAGCAATAAGAACAAACAAACAAACTAAATAAATGAAAGGAAGAGAAATTTAAAAATGCAACTTCTGTAAGACAGCAAAGTGAAATTTGCCTCAACTACTGGTGTTTGCCTTCTGACTTCTTTCCTGGGTCAGTCTCTGGTTTCCTCAGGGCTCCAGGTCTTATTGTCTTACTCTTGATTAAAAAAAAAAAAAAAAAGGCTCCTGCTGATTTTATGCCTGCCAAACTAGTTTTGCAGGTCTTCCCAGATCCTGCAGGCATAGGGTGGATGGGCTCTTTTATTTTCCTTTGCTGTCATTCTGCAAGGATGGGGGCTCAGTCTGGGCTACAATAAATCAGGTGCCCAGTTTCTAGCCCGTGCCCTCAGAACACTGTGTGGCCAGCACTGTCCACTCTGTGCATTTGCGCCATGCCAGTGCCGAAAATCCACCTCATTTTGTGACCTTTTGATTAATCTGTGAGATGCACTGAGTAGGAGCAAATCACAGCTTCCCTCTTCTCTCTTTTTATTGGCCTGGCCCCTGTGAGGTCCCTGCACAGAGGCTCAGTTCCACTATTAGAAGTCTCTCTGTGAGCCTCTGCCTCTCTGCTCCCTCTGTCAGCTCCCACTTTGATCAGTCACCTTTGATCAATCCATGAGGTGCCCTGAATGGGAGCAAACCACACCCCCACTCCTCTTGAGGCCTTTTCTTAACTGTCTAATATTTTTGTTTATTCACATGCTTGCTAATTTTTTTTTATTTTATATCGGGTTGGCCAAAAAGTTTGTTTGTTTGTTTTTTCTGTAAGATGGCTCTAGCAGCGCTTAGTTGTCTTTAACTTCATTCAAAACAGTTTTGTTAGATTGTATTATAACAGCTGTCATATTGGTGTGCATTTAAGAAAACCATCAAAATTGGTGAATTTTTGTGTAGCCATTTTGATATTGAAGATGGAAGAAAATATGCAACATTTTCAGCATATTATGCTTTACTATTTCAAGAAAGGTCAGAACACAACTGTAGGAGGGTGCATCCAGGGGGCCCCCAAAAGAAGGATTTGTAAAGGGGTCCAGAACTCAGGGTGTCCAGGAAATATTAGAAAGATATATAGGATGTCCTCACCCTCCACCACAGGTGTGAGTTGGGGGAAGGGACACATGGAGCAGGGCTATTGAGAGCTGTTTTGCATAGCAACAGCTTTGCAGCTAACCTCTGGTGTGGTCATTTAACACATCTATAACCTTTAACTGGTTGCATAGATATGCTAAATAGCTGTGGCCATGCTCTGAGCCAGGGGGATGGAGAGAACTTCCCCCCAAGATGTAACTGGGAGGCAACTCCCCCTAGTTACAGTGCCTGTGTGAGAGCTTGGAGATGATTGGCTCCATGACATGGGGCCACCCCTGCCCAGACTCATGATGGCAGCCCAGTAAAGCTGGAGGGATATGGGAGTGCTGGCAAGTGTAGCTGATTGTGGGAGGAGTCAGAAATGGGGCTGCAAAGGAAGATTGGCAAGGGGATTTAAACCCAGATGTGGCAGCCATTGAAGAGGGAGTCACGCAGCTTTGACAGTGGAGAGAGAAGCACGTGGCTGCAGCCATGTAAGGAGAACCACACACTTTTGGCACAGTGGGGACCCCCCGCAGTCTTGGTGAGAGAGAACCACATGGCTTTACCCAGAGTGGGGGGATGCCCCACCCCTGGCAGCTGTGAGAAGAATCACCATGCAGTTTTAGCAGAGAACCACCAGGCAGCTTTAGCAGAGAACCACCATGTAGCTTTAGCTGGAGATCCAGGTGACACAGCTGATGGTGCTGGGAACCGAGGAGGCCTCACAAACAAGCACAGATTACTGGGAGGAACCGGGAGCTGCCTGAGCCATGGACTTCTACTTTTTTTCCTGAGATGTGGTACCCCAGACTGGGCAAAGGGGAAAGGAAGGAGTATGTGTGTTTGTGGGTGTTTTAAGGGACCTTGGGATTTTGATCAAGACATTAAGTCATTACTCTTAAGTTTGTATAACTTGAATAAATAATTCCTTTCCTTTACACCAATCTCTAACATGGAGAGCTATAATTCTCTGGTGAAGGGAAAGGTGAACCTAGTAAGGGGGACCCCAGGAGAAAGGGGGGTCAATTTGGTAGCGTTGTGGGACCCTCTTCCCTGGTGGTGAATCAGGGAAAATCATGGGAGACCACATGTGCAGTAGCTTTAAAGTAACACAATTACTTCTACATGCTCAGTAAAAGCCCACCAAAACTAGCCAGGAAGGATCCGCCCTATAAGAATAGAGTCCCTCCAGCCCATGAGGTCAGTCTGTGCTTGGAGTTGGCCTACTCCCATGTTCTATGCTATAAACTCTGGGTGTTTGGTTCAATGCTTTGTCCCAATCACTAAGAACCTGGTTACCTGTGCACACCTGTGAAACAACTGCAATGCAAAAAAAGATTTGTGCAGTGTATGGAGAAGGTGCTGTGACTGATTGCATGTGTCAGAAGGGGTTTGCAAAGTTTCATGCTGGACATCAAATTTAGACATTAATTGAGAACAATCAATGTTCCACCATTTAGGACATGGCCGACATACTCAAAATATCCAAATCAATAAAGTTGTCACAGGTGGGCACAGGTAACCAGGTTCCTGGTGATTGTGGGCAAGGAATTGAACCAAACACACAGGGTTTATAGCATAAAGAGGGAGAGTGGATTTATTAAGGGATAGTACACGCCACAGAACATGGGAGCAGGCCAACTTCAAGTAGAGACTGACCACGGGGCTGGAGGGATTCTATTCTTACAGGGCGGATCCTTTCTGGCTAGTTTTGGCAGGCTTTTGTTGTGCAGGTACAGGTAGCTGTATTACTTTAAAGCTATTGCACGTGTGGTCTCCCATGATTTTCCCTGATTAGCCACCAGAGAAGGGGGTTGCACAATGTTAATTTATTATAATGCTATTATAGTGAAGCAGGGGTCATGTAGCATCTTCTGTGTAGGTGCATTCATGATTCACCATGATTCAGGGCTTTTCCAGAAGGCGGGAACAACTGGTCTTAGAAGAGGGTCTCTGTCCTGTATCGGAAGTCCTTTATCTTAGCCCTAGGGCATCTCCAGAGTTTCCTCCTTCCTGACTATCTCCTGCCTCAAAGCTATTAGTGAAAATGAATGATGTGTCTAACTAAACAGACTTTTTGGCCAACCCAATACTTGGTGGTATGGATGATATGTTATAGAGACAAGATATTGCACTGTCGTCCCTAAAGATTAAGGAATATTATTTAACAAGAAGATATACTACTGGCTGATCACTTTGAACTTCTAAAAGACTGGTTTTAGGTTTTGTTAGAGTGGGTCATTTCAGGTTTTTCCTAGTCCTAGGGTGAAGAACCCCTTAAATCTAGATTGTAATTTTTATTTGTAAAGTCTGGTGCTTTTAGAGTTTCAGTGCAAAGCCCAAAGTCTTTATCATGCTTCCCTAACTCATCTATCTCCTTTGTGGTAGGAAGTGGCTGAAATCTCTCCTTGGCTCTTGCAGCCTTCCAGATGTTTTACTCCTGGATTCTTTGAGACATTTCCATGTTTATCTGTACGTTAGTGGTCAGCCAAGGTTTTAAGAAAAGGTATCATCTAATTTTGGTGTTTGTTCCTTTGTAGTTCCCTCATTTCTGGGATTTATCTCCCTTAATTTCCAGATACTCTGGCAGCCTATATAGCTCTAGCCACAGGAACTGATAAGACAGCAGCTTTCTGCTTGAGCTCCATCTGCCATGCATAGACTGAGGAGTGCCCTTAGAGAAAAGCTGTATAAATGTAAATCTTACCTGGATGCTTCCTTCTATCAATGGTAAGATCCCCTCTACTTACTTCTCTCTTTTGATCACTCCCCATTGACATCAACCTGTTGACACCTTTTTACGGATTTTATGTATTTATTTTTAGAGAGAGAGGAAGGGAAGGAGAAAGAGAGGGAAAGAAACATCAATGTGCACCAGCTGCCTCTCACACCCCCCCCCCAGCTGGGGACCTGGCCCACCACCCAGGCTTGTGTCCTGACTGGGATTCAAACTGGTGACCTTTCGGTTTGCAGGCCAGCACTCAATCCAGCAAGCCACACCACTGAGGGCCAGACTGTTGATTTTTAAATATATATTTCATTTTTATAGAACTTATAAGTATTATAAGTTTACAGTAGAGTTAGGTCAGTGCAGGCTATTCTCTTTCTTATATGTTCTCAGATATTTTTCCCTCTTCTTTTTGCCTTTTATTTTTCCCTCTGTGGTAGACCAGTGTAGAATAGCAAATTGTAGAACTCTAAGGCTGGAGGAGCCCTTGGGCCATTGTTTAATGTCCATTCCATGAACCAAAATCTACTTATAACTCATCACCAATTGAATAATCTCAGGCCATTTTTTCCCCATTCCATTTTTAACACCTATTTTTTTGAGGCTATTCTGTGTAAAAATTTGCCTAATTTCTGTTAGGTCAGATTCAGTCAAGAATCCAGACAGATGCAGTGAGCTAAGGAGCAGGGTTTAATAATAGGAATAAGAGGGAAAATGGAGCCAGCCTAGGGAGTTTGGTGAGCCAACAAAGGGAGGTTAAAACTCACTTGGTTGTTCTTAGGGCAGGGCTTTTAAGTGCAAAAACCCACAAAGGGTAACTGGTTGGGGGTGTCAGAGTCTGATTGGCTAGAGCTGGTTGCTGGGTGCTATTTCTGCTCACCATTGTTCTTGATACATCTCATTAGGCTCAAGTTAAAGCCACATCCTGTTATGCTGGATAGGCCAACCTCAGACCCCAGTGTTAGCAGGGCCTCTGTTTGTCCTGGGTGGGGGCCTCAGGCAGTTTCCCAGGTAGCCATTTTCCCAGGCTACAGTTTCCCACAGTACAGTTTTCCAACCTGGTGGCTTCCCATTCCTCCTAGGCCTACCTAGGTCTGTCAGTTTCTACTTCCATCTTCTGGTTTTAATTCTGTAAACTAGAGAAGCCTAACCACATAAGAAATCTCACTTAATCATCACAACAGTCAAGTGATATAGATACTCTTTTTCCTATTGTATCATGGAATGCTCATTGTTCCCTAGTAGTAGTTATCTCCACTTCCTATACTATTTCAGTTAGCTTATGCTTATTCATAGTTAAGACTTCATTTCACAGCCTCCCTTGAAGCTGATGTAGCCATGAGATTCTATGCATTGAAATGGAAGAGAAATCTCCTTCAACCAGAGGATCCTTTCTTAAATAGAGTTGAAGCCCTCTGGCCATCTTCTGTCATCACTTCTTCTTCTTTTTTTAATCCCACCTGAACACAAGTTTTTATCTCTCTGAGAGAGAGAGAGAAAGAGACATCACTGTGAGAGAGAAACATCAATCAGGTTGCCTCTCATACATGCCCTGATCCAAATCCAAACTGCAACATAAGTATTTGTCCTGACGAGGAATCGAACCTACATCCTTTTGGTGCATGGAATAATGCTCTAGCCAACTGAACCACCCAGCCAGGGCTCATCACTTTTTCCATCTGATTCCTGAAATTATGTAGTGGCTGGAGCACAGCAACTGTTGTGGACCGCAAAAATGTGGTCCATATCTTAAGAATAGCAGAGTTTGAAAAGGTCTGGACCTAAGTTTTTTATGGAGCAGGCTCTGCACCTTCTACCTCTGGATTTGAGGTGGAGTAAAATGTAGTTTACCTTTTAAAAGTCCCATATTTTTAGGTATCTGTTAATCGTAGCAGAACCTAATTCTAAGTGAAATCCCTAACTTCCAGAAGAAAGTACTAAGCTTTCGGGTGGTTAAATAACTTACATGAGCAGTGGAAAGCAGAGCTTGGATTTACACCAGGATGGCCTGGCAGCTGCAAAGTGGATGTGGGCCACTGGCCTGCAGACCACCCTATAACTATGAGTGCATTAGCTGTTCCATATACTTTTGTGGGGTTTTTTTTTTGCCTTTTTAGCCAATTTTCATGTATTGTCATCAGACCCGAGAACTAAGCTCAGCCATTGTCCTTGAGTTACATGAATTTATTTATTTTTGGTTAGGTTTGGCCTCTGATTTTAGCTCATTTTGGGTTCCATTGCTCTCAGATTATATTATAGGATATACTGTCAATCTTTCCAAGTTTTGTGATATGTAAAATATTAGTGAATGATGCGTGTTTGGAAGTAGGAAAGGCTCAGGGTCATGATACAGCTGTTATAGCCACCAGTCTACCATGGCCATTTGCCCATGGGTCAACCAAAACAAACAAACAAACAAACAAACAAACAAAGGTTTAAGCTATTATAAAGAACAAAAGGCATTTATATGAACAAAGAGATTGCAATCTGAGAGGTGCAGATTCTGGTTGCTACCTGAATTGCACTCCAGAAGAACAAAGAAAAAGCAGGGTTTACAAAGGCAAAATCCCCACAAGAGGGTTTTTCATTTAGATCATCCATGGATTCTGGCTAGGTTAACAAGGATTGCTTAGTACAGCATGCACGTGAAGAATGCTGCTCTGTCAAGCAGATTGGTTCCTTGCAAATGGTCCAGTTGTCATGCTAGGGAGAAAGTAAAGTCTAGGAGGTGGTTTTATGGTAGCTTAAAAGTTCAAAAGTTCATCGGTAGGACAGGCATAAGACAGACTTCCTTGTGACAACCTGGCTGCATTTTAGTTCCCTTGACACAAATGAGTCTCGCCTAGCCACTAGTGATGAGCATTGAAACTGGTTCCCGTTGGTGGATAGCTAATAGCAGTTTTATGCTGAGCCAATGACAGCATAAAAAAGATACATATATCCCCTTCCACACATTCTTTCATTCTTCCTTTCTTTCTTTTATGCCCCCCCCCCTTTCTGCCTATCAATTTAACTGTTACACAGGTAAAATATACGCAGGGTGAAAAACTAAAAAAAATTAACAAAAAATTGGAGAACGCATATAATAAAAAGTGTATCTCTCTTATTCTGTTCCCTAGGCAATTCAGTTTTCCTCCCCCAGAGGCGACATCTCCTCCCAGAGATACTGTAGGCCTATTTCAGCATATGCATACATTTTCTCATTTTCTAAATACCAGAATATTATACATGTACCTTTGCAACTTGATTTTGTTTACTTAAGTCCACTATATACACCCAGAGTATACACTATATACAACTATTTGTTTAGTTCCTTATTGACAAATGTTGTTTTTATTTTTTTGTTATAAATAATGCCACATGAATCTTCATGTACATTGCTTATTTCATATACATATGGCTATATTAATAGGATAAATCCCTAAAGTAGAATTTCTGGGTAGAATAGGTAGACAAGAATTTTTTAAATTATATTTTTATCACAAACTTTGATATCACAAATACATATATATATATATACATATGTAAACTCTAAAACATAGTTGTGTAACAATGAACATTGTTATTTTTATAACAGCTTTATTGCATACATATGTGGTCCTAAACACTGTATTGTTCAGTTCTGCTTGTATTTATTTCCCTTTAGAACATTTATGTTTTAGGACATAACATTAATTTATTTTATTTTATTTTTTATTCTCACCTGAGCATACGTTTATTGACTTTAGAGAGACAGGAAGGGAGAGAGAGAAACACTGATGTGAGAGAGAAACATCCATGGGTTGCCTCCTGTACACAATAGACTGGGGATCGAACCTGCAACTTAGGTATGTGCCCTGACCTGAGATCGAACCCTCGACCTTTCTGTGTATGTGACAATGCTCCAACCCACTGAGCCACTCAGCCAGGACAACGTTACTTTACTTGTAATAGAGTGAAAACACATTGCACCTCTACATTAAGTAAGAAGGTAATTATTGCCATTCAATAAAATACTTTCACCAAATATTAAGTTCTCATAGTTAAACTTTAGATTCTCAATATGACAAGGTAAAATGTCAGAGGGTTCCTAAATGCCCTAGTCTCTGCTGAAAATCTCCCAGTTACTCATCAACATTTAGATTGGGCTTCATTTATTTACAAAAGGTGAACATACTCTGAATTCCCAAGTAGCTCATCTCTTTCTCTATCTCTGTAGTTTTGCTTGTTTTTAAGAGTTATAAAAAGTACCTTACTTTATATAGTCTTCCCGGTCTTGTTTTTTTCTACCCCCCACTCTGTATGTTTCTGTGGTATTGATCCATATTGTGGTTGCAGGTATAATCCATCCATTTTTACTGCTGAGGATATCTACAATTTAGTAATGTGTTTCCCTATGACTAAAGGGTATTTGGGTTGTTTTAGTTTTATGTGTCTATTTTTAATTTTGATAGGTATTTTGAAATTGTTCTTCTTTGAGAATGGACAAGTCCCCCCTGCCCCCCCCCCAATATTAAATGAGAATTCACAGTAGCACTTTGATTGAAATTGGTTGGCATTTCTGAAGCAATATTGTAGATCTCAAAGCAGCTTTACAAACTCTTTCGCAGATTATTAAAGAGATGGGAAAAGGGGCCTCTGGTCCATGGAGGACTCAGTTGGAGGCAGTGACTAGTCCAATACCACCTCTATCAAGTAGAGCCAAGTTGGCAGATTTGCACATATCTGAGACATTTGTTACATAACCTGACAAGATACCCATAGCATGGCATTTGACCTTGGCTGGGTTTCTGAATTTGTTAGAGGGACAAATGAAAAGAGATCTGGCTGCCTCTGAAACAATTTATCTCCCCACAGAGGGAGAACAAGTTGATACCGTGGTAAGAAGCAAGGGGAAGGTTGGGTCCCAAGAAGAAAACCTACCTGTGGTGAGCACAGGGGCATCAGGGTGCCTGGGACAGCCCTCAAAATGGCTTTGGGTTGGAAGGGAATTTCACATA